ACATACATACATACATACATACATTTCATTTCACAAGTCCAAACCAAATGGACATGAAGGTCATCATATAAAAAAAATACAAAAAATTTAAACAAACACACAGATAGCAAAGTAATTAAAACTAATTGTTTGAGTATGATCTTGGCTGTCCATTGCATACCACTGAGGAACAGTGAATCCACCATTAAGGCTTATGCCATTTGTACTCTTAATTTTTTTAAGCAGAAGGTTTTAGGGCTTGTAGTTTATTTATTCAGCTGTATAATTTTGTCTAGGATTTTTCAAAGAGGAAGTGATAAATGTAGAGTGTTACATTATGAGTAGAGTTTATCCATTGTTGATGACAGATTTATAGTTTCTGAACATTCATAATCTAAACCAGCAGATCTCAAGTAGAAGTTTCATAGGGTGAAATTTAAAAATTAGAAATGTGCCACACAACTTGAAAGATGTAACTTCTTCATATAAAATAAATTCCTTGAAGTAGATTATTATTAATTCAGATTTTATGGCAAAGCGTGAGGACATTGTACCTTAACTTACAGGAGATTACAAAATTGGAATGTGGTGACTTGATGTTCTTCCACAGCCAAAAAAAAAAAGAAAGTTTTTTCTAGTAGAGTATCGTTGTGGCACTTGTTTTTCACAAAATGTAAGTGAATGATTACATTGTAGCACAGACCCACAAAAATAGTCAGAGAATTTACGGAAGATACAAAGAAAATGTGTCTCAAGGTTGGGGAAATGTTAAAAAAACTTGTTATTCATGAAAATAGCTTAATGCTGTATTTTAGCGTCCTGTTGCACTGATTTTCATCCATGATATGTATACAGTGGCCGTCTTGTAGTGCACTCAATTTCACCTGTTATGTCATGACATGTTTCGGCAACATAGTGCCATCATCAGGTGCCCTAATTACGCTAATCTATTGCATTGCTTGCCTTTATATGTCTTTATAAAAGTATTTAAAAAGTGCGTATTTGTCAACTATAATAAATTTACACACACTAAAACTTGTTAGGATTATTCATCTTAATTAAAACTTGCGTGTGGTTCTTCCACTATG